TTTTAGCTTCAGCAACAAGTGTGCATATTGATTTACATATCTAATAATGCAACTTTCAGCCTACAGATTAAAAAGCCTGACACTGAAATTTGCAAGTTAAAGGATTCAAGGCTACTGTGACTGGTACATGAAGGGCAGGTGAAAATAAGCCAGAAGTAGCAGAAAGCCATTGATCACCAAGAAATAGGAAAAGCAAACATTTTAGAAAGACTGTAGCTACAAATTTTAACAAAGTAAAGGAAACATGATTAACAAATAATAAGTACATACAAACATCAACTAGAAATAAGAACAGAAAGAACTGGTAGAATAAAAACAGGACCAGCATAGCAAATACCTCCACAACAATGAGGATCGCGGTTTTCTTGATGACATTCGAGCATTGACGTCAAAAGATGCAATATTACTTGTTTGTCGACGTGAAACTTCTGATGAGCCATCCTCCACATCTACGAGCATGCTGTCCTTACCATCATCATCTTCCCTCAACGAAACAAGCACCATTCGAAGCATGCACAAGAAGGGTTGATCACTGTCTAGTAACTGGTAAAGCAGAGCCATGCCCCCCATTCCAGTACCAGAACCTCCTCCAATACCTAGGCCTCCACCAAGTCCAGACTCATCTAATAACAAAGCTTGAAGCATGAAAACAGACTTTTTTATCAGAGGCAGTTCAATCCAATTGCCATTTGCATCTTTCTCCAGCGCTGATTTCCAAGCTTCCCTGCCACTGCCACCACCACCAAAGGCTGATGCATTGGAAGGTTGGCCAACACCATACCACAATCTACTCCTGTACTTCCATCCTTCAGTTAAATCCATGACACAGCTTCCATAGGACACAAAAGCACAGGCAACTGATTCATAAGGTTCAGCAGCTGCAGCAGCAGTAAGTCGTTCCATAACAGCTGCAGAAAGTTGTCCGTTGGCATCAGCCATAGAAGCAAGAACCTAAGTTGAAAGGAAGAAAAAATGCATTTAACTTTTGAAAAGAAAAAAAAATGTTCGGCAAATCACTGGAACAAATGCTAAACTAGCAATTTGAGTCTCAAGCTATAAAGGCCACTCAATAATAGATAATTTTCTGTGTAAACCTGTAGTGCAGCATATAATGTCTGACCCATAAAAGATTAGCAAGACAATCACTAGAGGACAGCAATATTCATAACGGCATATGAAATAAACTCATCCTATCATTTGTGCTCACGAGGAACAAGTCTCAGAATTTAAAACAGAAAACCACTATGTTGCAGCTTTAAAGTTTGACAGCAGGCAAAAGCACCCAAAAAAAAAAAAACACATAGTTTCTCTAAACACATAGTAAGCATTCAGCATGAATAGCCACATAGCTCATACATACATCTAAAGGTAGTCCTGCAGAATCACCAGATGATGATTTACGTTCAGCCAGAGTTTCTAGAGGTTCTCCAACTATAGTTGAAGAGTGACCCACAGGCAAAACAGTTGAGAGAGGAGAAGGAGAGACAGCAGGGAAGCGTGAAGTCGTATAGATTTTGCTTTGCAAACGCAAGTGATCTTCAACAAGCATTAAGATCACAATAGCATTCTCCACCAAAGCCACTGAAACTTGCGCAGCATTTTCAGCTTCCAACTTTGCTAACTTGGGTGCTAGCCCCTCAGCTGCCACACCAGCAGAAGCCGCAGCAATAACTTGAGTCTGCTACAAATGAAAAGCTTAGAACATGCTCAAGTACCTCAACTTCACTACTAAGTCTCTGAAGTTAAGAAAGCAAGTTGGCAGCAGGCCAATACTAAAAAGACATGCCAGCAAAATTTACACTATCTGCTATGCCTAATAGGCTAAACAATGAAATAGGATAAGAAAAAAAAAAGATAGAAAAATGGCATAAAGGTAACAAAGGTGAAAATATCATGATCTAACATATTTGAAACAGAAAAAGACAAAGGAAAAATGAAGAGAAAAGAACAAATATCACACAATCATTGAGTGCCACACCTGCCTCCTACCCTGCAGGAGAGAGAGAGACTTTCAAATCATGACACTAATAAGAAAAATGAAAAGTTTCAATATATTACATCTCAAATGGTAATTAAAATTAAAAACTGTCCATTTACAACTATATTCACCAATCATTTTCTTCATCTCCAATTAATGTATGTGTTAAAATTATCTCCAATTATTATATTCTTATGTGTGATAATTAAAGCTAACTATATTTTATATGCATATTGGTTTAGAAAAAAAAATCACAATTAATAAGAAGGCAAAAGGTTGTAAACAGCTACAGAGAAAACAAAAGGTTAAATTGATGATTAAATTCACTATATTATGTCATATTGACTAAGAAAACTACCAAAAAAATTGTCGATAATTATAACAAATATAACAGAAAAGGTTTATTACTACTGAAATTGATAAAAATTTGTTGTATCCAAATCATAGTGTTTTAGTATGTATTTTGCTCAGGTTTTGTTGTATACACTGGTTTGACAGAACATAGAAAATTTCCTCTTCTTATTGTCACAATCCAAGTAAAATATGCAACAACTTTGTTTAGATATGATAATCTTCCATCTTTAGAGTTCCATAAACTTTTAATTGCTTTGTGTATAATAAATGTTTTCTACAACTAGCAATTGCTTAATTTTGTTTATTATATGGTTTCTTAGTCAATATTATACCAACAACTTAATTTAAATATGATAATCTTCCATCTTCAGAGTTTTTATAACTGGAGAATGCACAATTAACTATTAATTGCTTTGTACAATTACCAATTGCTTAATTTTGTTCATTATATAGTTCCTTAGTTTATATTATGCCAATAATCAAAGTTTTGCACAAAAATTTAATATATTAAAGGTTTGATATTTTAGAAAAAAAATATTCACGAGCAAGGCACGTGAGTTATTACTAGTGAATCAAAGTTCAGTAATGTTGGTGAATGGATGAGTAAATAGAAGCCTAACTATAGATCTACATGAGTAAACATGTCCCGCATGCATTACCTGCTTCCTAGGATAACCAATTGTCCTACTGATGGATGAAAATAAATATGCCATAGCTTACAGTAATATTTAACGCAGAGAAGCTCACTGGATCAACACATTGCTTACTCTGAATTAGAACTTATGCAAGTACAATCATTAGTTGGGCTTCTATTTTCATGCAAAAAGTAATAAGGAAAGTTAATTTAACTTTGAAAAAAATCAACTTAAAAGGGCCTAATAAAAAAATCAACCCCTTGATAAATGAACCACAGGATAATATCCAACAACAAAATAAACCAAGGCAGTATGAGGAGAAAGTTTGACATTTAAGCAGAGGAACTGGAGTTCAACATATGAGGTTACCTGAACCTGAAGTTCTCTGGCAGCAAAGTCTAGTAAGTCACTCAACAGCCTTCTTTTGAACATAGGCAATGATTCCTCACGTCTGTGGCAGGAAAAATAGCATTGAAATTGATGTTTTAGTAACAATGCAAGTATTCATGTTGCTCTTTAATTAAAAGAAAGCTGTTATAATTTCAGGTAAAGAAAATTATAGTGAATGAAGTTAGATGCTGTCTCACACTGTAAGCATGACTGTATCAACAGAAAGCAACCTCACTAGTCACATTAAAGTTCATAGTCCACTAAATAGCTTATAGAATCAGTAGTCAACAGCTTACATAAGCATAAATGTTAGGCTTCAATGTCCATTGAAGATGATTACCTACTACAGAACAGAAAGCAACCTCACTAGTCACATTAAAGTTCATAGTCCACTAAATAGCTTATAGAATCAGTAGTAAACAGCTTACATAAGCATAAATGTTAGGCTTCAATGTCCATTGAAGATGATTACCTACTACAGATGCCAATCTCACAGTGTTTAGTTTCACATGTTAAAACCCCACAAACTGTTAATTCACATGTATAAAATCAGACTGAAAATAAAAATCCGATAAGAAAAAGAAAATAGGGTTTTACTCAGTCCATTGTATCCCAATAACCCCTCTATAATGGCGAAAGTTGACTAGATAACAAGAAACCTAATTTGCTATCATATGTGTAAAAGAAGCAATTACAATCAGAGAAGCACCAAAAGATTAACAATAATGAAGCATATGATGTGGCTAATTGAAGTAAAATTACACCATACCAGGAAAGAAGGTACTAAAGTATTCGGTATATTACAGAAGAAAAGGTGCAACCAATTAAGTCCAACAAATATCATCTAAAATAATGAATTTGCACCAAATTAAGCGTACAAGTGTTGAAATACAAGAGATTATTTCAAAAAGTCCTTTCTTTATGCTTCAACTTAGTTAAGATATACAAAACCTCACCAATTAGTCCTTCATTCCTATTTAATCCTTCTGGAAAATTATAAGTCCTATCAAACATTTTAGGACCATTAAGCCCTAGTTGATAAGCACATCTAAATGATTCTGAAGTAGTTGTTCCTTAACTCCTTTTTTCCATTTTAACCTTTGAAATTCAGAGCTTCAAATGATAAAATCTGGCAATCCCATTTTTAGTTTCTTTCGATATCTATCATATATGAAAAGTAAGGAAGTTCTTATCTTGAAAATGTGCATGCTAGTACAAGCAATATTTCTGATAAAGCAGCAGAAATGATATAAGGTGTCTAGAAAATTTAGAATTTTCCAGTTATTAAGAAATTATATTTTGATATAAGAGAAAAAACTCTATGAAAATGAAAAGATAAAGTAGAGGAATCAAGTTCTACTAAGGGTATGTTTGGTTCCCCATGAAATTGGGGTTTAGAATTGGAATTGGGGCTCCAATTCTAATTCTGTTGTTTGGATTATGCTCCAATTGAAGAATTAGAATTCAATTTGAATTCTATGGGAGTCCAATTCCATGAATTGAATTCTTTACCGGACCAAAAGAATTCTAATTCCAATTTCACAACTAAACCATAAGAAATGGATATACACGCGAATCTAACATGGGTAAAAAATTAAAAGCGGGTCAAATATACAAGCATCCCTCTCTCCTATTCTAATTCACCATTTTTTCTCAGCCGCAAGTGCTCCTGCTCTCCACCATCGCTTCTACCTCTGCCCTAACATTTTGCCGCTTCCACCATCGTTTCCCCTATCGCTCTTCGTTTCAGCCATCCCTCTGCCCTTCGCCTCTCCTGCCACGCATCCACCCATCATCTTGCCAATCGCAAGACTAATCTGAGTGCTCTCTCCTTACCCCTGCCTAATTTTCTCGAATTGGGTTCTTCAGTCTTGAAGGTAATATCTCCTAAGAATTTGCACTGAAATTTGACGTTTTCTTACAAAGCACTGCCTAACCCTTGAGTGCCAGATATTAATTCTAGTAATGGTTCTTGACTTTGGTTTTACAGCCCAGCAATGGCTCAGAACCTACAGTTGGAAAGACCCTTGTTAAGGACGGAGGTCTATTTTTTTATAGAAACTTGGTACTGGATTGGTGTATGAGCAGCATGTTCAATCTTCTTTTTATTGAAGTATTGACATTTTTAGAGCGTAAGCCCCACGTACAACCTTGTTATCATGCAATTTTTGTTCCTAATATACTATATAGTAAAGAAGTCCATGTCTTAATTTTGTGGTGTCAACTTAATGTCAGCTCTAGGAGATAATAAAGCTGTTATTCTTGAGGATGATGAGCAAAACAAGGATAGACGGCAAGTTGCATCACATCCTGGAGGTTTGTGGTCTATTCAACTCCAGCCTTTTGCATATGCAACTCAAAGATAAATACTCTGTATCCCTTGATAAAATAAGTTCAGACTTTAGACAAGGTTTGAAACGTGATATATACATTTTCCCAAGATTCAATATAAAGTTTAGTACTCAATTAGCGCTTAAATTTAATGGATTCTAAAAGTACAAAAGGAGGAAGAAATAAAGAATCTAAAATGCACCAAAGGAGGGAGGAAATGGAGAAAGAAAGAATCTACCGACAGAAAGAAAATGGAGTAAAGAAAATTGAGGTTATTGACATTCAACAAGGGAACTTATTTCATCCTAAAGCTGCATTCTGGTGATTTAATTACTACTTCTGCTGAAGTCTTTAGTAGTGGATGCAATTTTAGTCAAGTTAATGAACTTGTATTTGTCACAGTTGATGGATTCAAATAAGCTGTGGTGTGATTGTTCTCAACAAGACCACAATTTTGGTTTGTTCAAGAAGCGATGGACCATTTTGAGAGATGTATCGTTTTTTTGATGTTAAGACTCATGTCATGATAATTAATGTCATGATAATTAGTGCTCAGCAAGTTGTGAGAATATATGATCTTCAGCATTCTTTGCAAAAGGTCGAAGAAGCTCTCTTGCAGGGACTAGAGCAACTTCACTTGTGCAACCATGTACAATCTGTTTATGCATGTGGATTTGTGTATGTTTGGCAGCACACCTTTCCACTGATAATTTTCTCTTTAAAAATCAACGAATTGCACAAGATGAGATATTTATGGTTTGTTGGTAACAAGTGATGCAGGTTTTTGTTCAAAACTGTTCTTGAAGTTTTGGGTCAAACGTGTCTGCATGAAAAGGCATGTTAATGTGGTCTTGTTAAGAGATACTTTAGACTTCATAGTTTCTTGTTTTTATTTTGTGAATAGTTACTTTCTTGTTCATCATTGTCCAGAAACTTTACTTACATACACAACGAACTTTATCTTGTTGTCTTACATACCCCAATTAGTTTTGTATCTAATATAATTTAATTAAGAATAAAGGAAACAAGAGTAATACTATATTTTTATTTTGTAGAAAAGGAACTAATTGGTTTTTTTCTTTAAAGCTTTAATAACAATTGGTTAAATGCAAGAAAAAATAAATTATTAAAGGCATTAATTGATTTTTTCCTTGAAACTTTAGTAAGAATTAGCTAAATGTTTAAAAAATTATTCCATACGAAAAAGAAAAAAAGAAAATTTTTATGTAAGCAAATGTTAGATGGAAACAATTCTAATTCTTAATGAATTCTTCTCGCATCCAAACAAAGAATTTGGAATTCCAAATGAATTCTATATCAATTCTATGCATTTCCCAAACAAAAGAATTCCAACGTTTTGGAATTCCAATTCCTAGAATTCTAATTCTATAGAATTTCAATTCCAATTCAATTCCAATTCTGTAGAACCAAACGTACCCTAAATGTAATTAGGAATTCATTGCTGATCAAGTTTGATAGGACATGATAATCCACCTTCCTGTTGATAGCAAGAACACCACCATACAATCCAACTTTGCCCACTCAGCAACTATAGACCATCATCCCCATATTCACCATTGAACCGTGGCCTTGTATGTGATTGCAAAATTCCATCAGGATAAAGAGTTTCACAAGGCCAACCAAGGCACAACCAGGTCCCCACTCAAAATCAGCTAAAAGCTACCAAACATCCGACATTAAGAGCCATAATTAACCTGACATCTGTAACTGTTCGACATGGCAAATTGCACTCACATGAAATCAATCGAGAACCAACCATTACTACACTTGCTACTCACTTATCAGCACCATCTCAATGGGACTAAAACAAAATCAGGAAGAAGACCTACTACAAAGTAATAGTCTTTCACTTCAAGACAAAAGGGAACTAAGATCCAAGAGGACAGGAGAGCAAAGTTGCAACATAATATCTCAGTTCATGGGGGACATGTAGTGATCTTTCTCCTGAGAAGGTGAACATCTCAAAAGCACCCCAATTCTCCGCCTCATCCCTTTTACAAATTTACCTGTCCATTTGGCTACTCATTAATGTCTTACTGTTCCCACTTTTCCTGGCCTAAATCAAACACCAAATTCCTATTAGCCCTAAAACCAGGAGTGCTTCTAAGCAACTCATAAATCCTTCTCCACTTTCAGTTCAATGCTTGTGTTTTCTAGCCAATTTCATAAGCAAACCCACACCTAGTTTTCCATAGCTAGTTCACTCATTTGGTATAAACATGGTCTAGAAAACAGTATACCAACATCCACAAATAGCTTCATATAAGAAATCCCCTAAAACTAACAAAGTCAAACTATACATCTCTCAGTTGTTCAGAAGAAACAGGCAACCTTAGGTCCCCCACAAAGGCAATTTAAACCACTCACAATTTTTTTCTTTGTTCTGTTTATGAAGGGCAGATGCCAGCATAGAATGAGTAATCTCAAGCAGCCTATAATCTGCCAAACAACATCCGTCCAAACTTCAACACAACTGGGGTAGACTCGCTAAATCCAAAAGAAGTATGTAGAACAAAAACCAGTTCAATAACCTAAAAGGGTACTCCACACCTTTAAAACCCCTTCTGTGTCCTTTCCCACCCTAAAGAATTCTTCAAAAGTATCATTCAAAGCCAAAGTTTCTTTCCTCTTCTTAAATAACCTGACTTGATCATAGCATCTCAGGAGGCACACAAGGTAAAAGCACAAAACTTTTTGGAGTTTCAGGATTCTAATTACTCAGGACAGAGTACCATAGCACTTAAATGCAACATGATGTTCACATGATGCAACACCAACCCCAAGATGCTATGAATTGCATTAACATGGGATAACCACAGCCCTCAAAGGTGTTTACAGTCGTTATTAGTTCAACAATAATATCACTCACACATGATTGAAGGCTTCAAATTACCAAATACATATAAACAAGAAGGACATGTACTTGGAGACATGCAAGCAACAGAATGACTAATTTCATTAGCTTATACAACCAAAAGGAAGCCACAGTTGACTATTAGAGGACACAAGAATATAGGAACGCCACTAAGATTACTAATGTTCTTTCCAAGACAAACTTAACATGGAAACTAGGTCCAATCTCAATATTGTGAATTCCTACTGTATCTTAGACCTTCTGAAAATCAGTGACCATTGGAGGCAGTTAAAACAAACAACATAAGTTGATATTTTCTAACAATTTCAGAAAGGTAGAACTGATATGTAGTGGCACCTGATTCTTTGGTCTCCTGTGCTAGAACCACCCACCATCGAGAGCCACTCTGCACAATGAATTGTAGCTTCAATATCCTGTCAAAGCGAAGTATTCAACGAATAACATGAATGAAGCGGAAGGAGACAGAAGTTTAGAAGGTTATACAGAACAGAAAGGCTCGTCAGATACCAGAGGGAAAAAAAATCAAACATACAAAAACAAAGGTGAAGCTCACAGAATTATGTCAGGTAGCAATCAAGTTGAGAGGCACTTTGATAGGCTACTACACCTTAAGCAACAAAATACTACATTTTGTTCTCTTTTCTTCCATAAACGAAGTACTATATTGGCAAGCAATATAAGATCCAATGCCAAAATTAATGAGGCCCTAGTCTCCTTTATTGACTCTAATTAATGGGTCTATATATAGACAACATTTACATAGGCCCTGTTTGACAACTCAATTCAGCGCTTAATGGGTTCAGACCTTAATATGTTCAGACATGTTTGATAACCAAAAATAGAACGTCTTAGGTTCCATATCAATTAGGTATTTTTTGGGGTGTTTTTCAAAAATTTTTCTATGGCAGTATATGTGAAAAACTTTTACTGTAGATAGTTAGATGTTTTTAGAGGTAGGTTCCACATGAATTAGGTATTTTTTGGGGTGTTTTTCAAAAATTTTTCTATGGCAGTATATGTGAAAAACTTTTACTGTAGATAGTTAGATGTTTTTAGAGGTGTTTTTGATGATGTATTTTGGGATATTTTAGAATTCAAAATTGTTTTAGGGCATTTTTTGAAAATTGAAAATAATACCACCCCCTCCCTCCTCTCTCCCCCCTCTCCCACTTTCTCCCCCTCCTTCCTCCTCCCCTCCCCTCCCTTCCCCCGCCTCCCCCATCCCATCTGATCGCAGCCTCTGTTTGGCACCCCCTGTTTGGAGCATTTTAAAAAGATTTTTCTCTTTTAAACTGCCTTCTATAGTAACTTGCTAAAAACACCCTAAAACACCTAAAATAGATACTGAACAAAAACACCCCACCATCACCTCCACCCTTCCACCGCCACACCCCCTCACTCATCCTGTCCTAGGAGGGGTAAGGGATCAAGGTGGTGGTTAGGAGGTGGTGGGGAGGATTGAAGGGGAGAAGGAGAGGGGTGGCAGGTGAGAGAGGGACAAGGAGAGGGAAAGAGGTGTTTTGGACAAACACCAATATATCATAAAACATCTACAATAAGCTCCAGTAAGTTTTAGACAAACACACCAAAAACCACACCATCTAAACAGACCCAAAAATCACTAACAAATGTTTATTTATTAGGTAAGTTAAAGAGGAGATGGCAAACTTTGCCATTGCCTTGATATACTTTATATAGGATACTGATAGAAAAATGATCCAATTGACAGCCTGCAATCATCTAAATATCGCATAATGTGTCAAGTACACTTGCTAACCTTAAAAGGGAAGAAAATCCTTGAATAGTAAACAAGAGCCTCTAGTTATATGGATCGAAAGATTTCAAAACATGCAGGAGCAAGACATGGTTGTCTTCATGAATCAAAATGCTTTGTGAAGCCAAATGCAGCGAAAATTAATTACAAATTTCTAAAAACTTTGATGGAGTTTCTCATTTAATTTAATTAGTTAAAAAGATGACTGCCAGTTTGTCCTTAATCTCGTTTTTCATTTGCCCACTCCATATTTGATGGACCAGTATTTAGCTTCTGCTCTTCAGCTCTCCCTCCCCCCCATTTAAATATCATAGTTTAATTGGATAAGGTGTCAAGAGATTTTTAAAAAAAAAATGTGGAGTCTTCCATATTTGTATATTAGAATCTAAGGAGGTAGTAAAGCACACGTATGACGACTAAATATCATGGACGTACAAGGTATTTGAAGAAAACAAAAAAATTAACTTAAAGTAGGCAATATTTTGGTATGCACTAAAAAGCCAAGACACTCAATTTAGGACAAAGGAACTATAATATTTCTTTGGACTTGACTTGAAATAGCAGCAGTCCATATTCAAGGAAAAGTTTGGGGTGGGGAGGGGGAGCAGCAAATGTTTGACAAATATTTTATTTCGAAATCTTGTTCCTTTAGATAGTACAAGAAGCACCAGTATCCAATTAAATCATATATATACATTGGCAGTTCTAATCAATTAACTGAAAAATGTCATACTTTCACGTTAGGAAACAGATATGAGAGGGACGATGGGGAGCATGCCCCAATTGAAAACAGGACTTATGTGGTACATGAAGGGTCACGCTAATCAACTTACATAACAATCCATGACACATTCATTGAACTAAATTTACATGACAAAACAAAAATTAAGCCATCGAACAACATTAGCATGCCTAAAGGTTTTAATGCTCATATTCATCCTCAACACAATCCCATTAAATGTGTATTAGTTGTCTCTACCTCCACCTATTTGACATGTTGAAAAAGGCCCAAATAATGATGCTGTAGATATTTTCCATATTCTCCAGATTTCAACTTGAATTGAGTATTTTAAGTGGACCATTATCTAAAAAAACATTTTCTTCAACTACTTCATAAGATAAAAAGAATAAAAGATAACAACCCCTTTTTTTGCCAAAAACAATAGCTAGTTTAGATCCAAAGCATTTCAACATCCGAATTCTAATTAAAAAAAATCAAATAATGGTTATAATAGTTGATGTTCTTAAAAATATGTTTCAATTGAAGCCCAAAAATCTCAAGAATATTTCTATCATCCACATCTTAGTTTCAGAAGCTTATGATCTTATTATGTTACAAACTGGAATAAACAAAACCATTGCAATTTTAGAATTAACTTGAAGAACAACAAACAAATAATGAAATGTCTTTTAGTCCAAAGATGTGGTAGTGCTGGTTGAACCAAAATCTGAATTCCAAAGAATAACAGAACTGTACATATAAAGAAACAGATCAACACTACAATGGTAGAGTATACATCAGCACATAGC